TACTAATGTCCTCCTGTGACCCAAAGCTCAGTATACACTGAGAGGCCAGATTATTATCACCACCTGACGTTTGTAGGCAAATTAGCTATAATTTCACGCTGAAGTTGCTAGAGGGCCAGACCATTATAAATAGGGAAGCAGGTTGTTTACCACCACAGTAGAGGGAAAAGGTGGCCCAACTAACTACTGATGGGGTGGTCATAATAATAAGCCTTTGCAGCTGAGTGCCTCTTCCTGTAGTGCTGGCTCAGGTAGTGAACCTACACACAGACACCATGTATCCATTTCAGAGACAAGGCAGTCTGTTGCAAAACAGAAGTTCTGCCCAGCATGAGAAAAGATAAGGATTTAAAAGGAAGAGCAGCAAATAGTGTTGTGGGGCAATTGAACCCATGGCCCCAGTGCTACAGTCTTAAACTGGCCATACACTCTTCAAATTTCTCTTTTTCAGCCCAATGGGCAAAATTAGAGAAATCCATTGATTTCCCCATGCACACTAAATAGCATGGATGGACGAATCCCCGCTGCCAGCTATTGTACTCCACAGGTGGTTGACCCGGACAGTGCCTGCATCTGATTGGATACAAGCAATGTTTGGGCCCAAAAAAGAACAGCTCCTCCAACAAAAGTCGATCGACTTTTGTTGAGTGGAGGATTGCTGGCAGGGCCACTCCATGGCATGAATTTTGGCCAGTTTATCAGGAAGCGGCGGAAGTTCACATGACCACCTGGGTGATACACTGTTGGTTGTGTTGCATGTGCAACACTTTATTCCTCTGCTCCATAACAGGGGAAAGGATAAGACTTGCTTACACGTTGGAAAATCAGCATTGCGCAACTCCTGCTGAGCATCCCTTGTAATTATTGGGCTGTCTGTGACCACCCTTAAAAACTAAGCACCTGATTGGTTGCTGCGGGCAACAATCACACTCGCTACCCTCCATTAAAGAGCCTAACTGCCTTCAGTTAATTCTCCTTTGGCAGCTTAAAGGATTTTATTGGCCTGTTAAAAAAACAAACCCAAACTTCCCTCTATGACCTCATAGCAGCAGCTTACAAAGAACAACTGCCAAATAAGTCATAAGAAGAGGAAAAGGCCCTGTGCAGAGAGGACAGCATGCCAGCAATTGTTGTCACATGTGAAGAACAATCATGATTCATTGAATGAGTATTTTCATATATGCAGAAATTCCACACACCCAGTGTGACATCAGATTTACTAATGAAGTCATATTCAGCCAAGTCAGTGTCCACTTCAACAATACACATTCTTCAATTTTATATGAAAAAAAAGTACCTCTCTGTGTATACAAATGTTAGGGTGAAGCTCAGTCCAATATCTCTGTTTTTCACATGCAGAATATAACCCCAATTCCCAAAAAGTTTGGACGCTGTGTTAAATCTACATAAAACAGAATGCAATGGTTTGCAAATCCCATAAACCCATATTTTATTCATAATGGAAAATAGAAAACATATCAAATGTTTAAACTGAGAAAATGGACCATTTTAGGTAAATGGCAGCAACACGTCTCAAAAAAATTGGAACAGGGCCATGTTTTCCACGATGCAGCATCCCCTTTTCTTTTTTTATAATTCTTTATTTAAGTTTTATATTTTCAATAACAAATAATACAGATGAAGCATTAGAGAAGGTTTACAAGTTAATCATATAATATAAAACATTTCAAATTATATCTTGAAAAAAAATCAGATAGATATGGAGGAGGGAGGGAGGAGGAAGGGTGGAGCCTACCTTACTTGCTCGTCACTGGTAAGGCATCAAGATCGATGTCATCAGTGGGTTTTTTTTCTTCTTTTTTTGATTGGACAGCTTGGACCAATGGCGCTTTGCCATTGGTCCAAACCATCCACAGAGCTCAAGCCTCTATCACAGAGTAGAGGCTGTTGCAGCTCTTGCCTCACTATGTTAGGTTACACAAGCAGTGGGGAAGCCCGCTGCTGTGTAACCTAACTTAGCTATCTAGAGCCGGATGCAGGGCCACCTGTAATTAGCAGGCAGCCTCCGTCCATGACAGGTTACACAGCGGGGAGGCCTGTTTCAAGCCGCTCTGGATGGAGTAAAAGCTGTCAGCTTCAGACATGAAGCTGACATCTTTTTCCTCCATAATACTAGGTGAGGCTTTGCTTTGCCTCACCTGCCTCCCCTGACCGCACATCCTTGCCACAGTGATATACATGGGGTAGTAGTCTGTTTCCAGACGGTTGGTATACATATTTAGCCGCATTAAGTAAATTAAGAATAAGTGATATCTTTTTCTGGAAATATTTGAAACATGTAGGAAACAGGCCGCTGGATTTCTTGAATATCAATCCTTATAAGTAATCACCTCTTCTTTTAACAACACTCTGTAAATATCTGGGAACTGAGGAGACCAGTTGCTGGAGTTTTGGGAGAGGAATGTTATCTCATTCTTGTCAGATATGGGATTCTTACTGCTCAACAGTCCTGGGTCTTCTTTGTCATATTTTTCGTTTCAAGATGTGCCAAATATTTTCAGTTGGTGAAAGGTCTGGACTCCAGAGAGGCCAGTTAGGCACCGGGACTCTTCTACTATGAGACCATTCTGTTGTCATAGATGCAGTATGTGGTTTAGCATTGTCCTGCTGAAATATGCAAGGCCTTCCCTGAAAAAGCCGTTGTCTGGATGGGAGCATATGCAGCTCTAAAACCCGAATATATCTTTTAGCATTGATGGTGCCTTTCCAGATGTGCAAGCTGCCCATTCCATACACACTAATGCACCTCCATACCATCAGAGATGCAGGCTTTTGATCTCAGTGCTGATAACAAGCCAGAAGGTCCCTCTCCTCTTTAGTACGGAGGACACGGAGCCCATGGTTGCCAAAAAAGAATGTAAAATTTCAATTCGTCTGACCACAGAACAGTTTTCCACTTTGCAACAGACCATTTGAAATGAGCTTTGGCCCAGAGAAGAAAGTGGCATTTCTGGGTCATGTTTTTCTTGATGCATGATAGAGCTTTAACTTGCATTTTTGGATGGCTCGGCAAACTGTTTTCACAGACAGTGACTTTTGGAAGTATTCCTGAGCCCATGCAGTGATGTCCATCACAGAATCATGACTGTTTTTAATGCAGTGCTGTCTGAAGGCCCGAAGATCACAGGCATCCATATTGCATTTTGGCCTTGTCCCTTGCACACAGAGATTTCTCCAGATTCTCTGAATCTTTTGATGATATTATGTACTGTAGATGATGATAAAAGTATTTACCATTTTACGTCGAGGAACATTATTCTGAAATTGTTTGTCAACATTTTTAGACGCAGCTTTTCACAGATTGAAAAGCTGCGTCTAAAGATCTGCCCATCTTTATTTCCGAGAGACCTTGACTCTCTGCGCATCATTATTTCTGAGAGGCTCTGACTCTCTAAGAGGCTCTTTTTATACTCAATCATGTTACTGACCTGTGGCCAATTAACCTAATAAGCTGCATAGTGTTCTTCCAGCTCTACCTTGTTAGTACCACTTACTTTGCCAGCTTTTTGTTGCCCTTTCCCAACTTTTTTTGAGATGTGTTGCTGCCATAATTTCAAAATTACCTTATTTTGTTTGTTTCAAATGGTACATTTTCTCAGTTGTAAAATTTTCAAAAGAACCCTCCTATTCCCAAACCAGAAGAAGAATACCTATAGAATTAATAGTATTGCTGTGTTTTGTATGTTCCACAAATCTTGCACAGATGTTCGTTAAAGCCCAAATTTCAATTAAAATGACACTAGATTTATTTTTAGCGCATACAAATCCAATCTAATCTCCAATAATCCCACAATATAATTACAATCAAAATAAAAAAAGATTAGAATTATTAAATACATTTTTCTAGGTTCAAAATGGTGTACGCTGGTAAGGTAACGATAAACAAAGATAAAATTGCCTATACTGTATACAATTTTAACTGTAAATAGACACTTATTTCTTTGTTCACTGCTATCTTGCCAGAGTATACCATTAGGCAGCACATGATTAAAGCTCATCAATTTGATGACGCTTTCCATGAAGATGTGTAGCATAAATGGCATGCTTCCTAACTGCATGGATGTTCAGTATATACATACATAAAGTATGTTATCCTATTAAATGTAGTTTATTGTTTTGGTTTGTTTGTCCAAAATACATTTTTCCTTTTTTTTAATTGGACTTTATTACTGTCATATAGAAAAAAAGGAAGGGGTTGACATTCCTCTGAGAAACATCTTATATTTTTACCCATCTCTAGGCAAAACTGGAAAGCCTTCATCCCCCCTACCCACACTCACATGGACCAGCCATCAGATGACCTGGGGTGCTTACTCTTTGATAGCCCTCTGCACTCCAGGCCCACTAACAACTGGTCTTTTTGCCAACCCTCATTGCGATGTCACCATGCCACTGATAAAGTCTTTGGAACCCCACTGATGGACCCTATAGAAAGTGTCCACATCATCAGGCAGTTATTTGGCCACCAAAAGAAGTACTCAATCACTCAACAGTGAAAAAGCAAGAAGGCACAGGACCCAGTAAGTCACATAACCACGGATTCAGGTATGTATATGGGCCATGTGTTTAATGACTGGGGAAATTAGCTTGGGGCAGTGGGGAGTAATATTTGTGGGATGAGGACTTCCCTGACCAGACTTGAGACTCTGGTTAGTGCCCCACATAAAAGCTCCTAGATTTGCTTCTCGCCCTTAGGAGTCCCTGGAACAGGAAAACAAAACTGGGTACTACAGGTGAGGATGCTAAAACCCAGTGGGTGAACCTATTTTGGCTCTCAAGCTATTTTAAAAACCCTTAGTCATCACTGTAGAATGTCCTGTTTTGCCCTCGGTGTTTGTGAAGGAGTGGCTGCCAAAACCAAAAATATGCATAGCTAAATAGTTTCATGTTACTCACATGTTATGTGTTATAATGTTAACATGGCAATGTACTGATTCATGACAATTGATTGATTGACTCATATTGTTTCTTAATTCTAGAAAAATTCATGGATTTCGACCTAAATGATCAAGGAGAGATTGGTAAGTGAATGAATACCCAAGACATTTCAGTATTTAAAAAATATTTTACAAATGGTAGTAATAGGTCATTTCAGATCAGAACATTTTGGTGCTGGGATCTGGGAACTGTTTGGCAACAGAACTGCTCCCTGTGCACGATGAGATGAGTATCATGCATAAGGGGATACTTAGGGGTACTCCACACCACAGCCCGCATTTGACTTTCATTGTACAGCCTATTCATAAAATACAGGTTGTGATGTAGAATCTGTGCAATGCATAACACAGCAGAGAGACCTCCATTAAAGGAGGAGAGGTTGGCCACATAACCTTTATGTCTTTTTTTTTTTGCATTTATGTCTACATTTTGATTTTGGTTTTCTTGTTTTAGAGCACTAATGAACACAATTAACATTTTTAAAGCACACTAGTTCATTAGTGTGCTACTGGGGATTAGTTTAGGGTCTAGGTGAATGTTAGGCCCAGGATGTATGAGGTTACAGGGAATATATAGATTTTTCATTTATGTTCTAGATATACTGTACATGTAAATGAGAACAAATAACAAGAGATGAGCAGAATCGATAAGATAATCTACATATGTTTAAAGGACTCCAGGCAATCAAACAATGAACCCATGCCGTGGAGATACTTGAAAATATACTCTCCTGATCCTCAGTCCTGAGGCTGTGACTGCTCACTTCTCTTGCCGTCTGCTCTGGCAGTGGAATGGTAGCCTCACTACAAGGGTTATTTTTTAGAGTGTTTGGAGCTCTTCCTTAAAGGAGAACTATGAGGTGAGTGCTTTTCACTCACCTCATAGTTCTAGCCGACCTGTGACAATGAGACTGTCACAGGTCGGCTCAGTTGATCAGGAGGTGAGCGAACACATACCGCCGTTCGCTCACCACTCGATCCTGTCACGGCTCTCTGCCGTGATAGGGGAGGGGCTGGATTCCCCCCTCCCCGCGCCGATCCGCCAGCGCTGACTGGCGGAACGGACGGGGAGGGGGCGGGTACAGCTGGCTCTGCCTCTAGATAGGCAGAGCCAGCTGTCAGTCACGCAGCTGGGCGGATCCCGGCATAATTGTCGGGATCAGCTTCAGCTGCGGCGTCTCAGTATACCGCGAGCTACAGCTCGCGGTATACTGAGCGCTAGTTTGTATCCTCCCATTACCCTAAGGAGAACTATGGGGAAAAGCCTTAACCCCATAGTTCTCCTTTAAGGTTTTAAATAGAGCTGCAGCTAACGATTATTTTCAAAATCGATTAGTTAGCCGATTATTAAGTTCGATTGATCGGTTAATCGGATAAAAAATAAAATTCATTTTTAAAAATGGCTCCAGTGATGGGACTACTAGTTTGTTGTTTGTATTGAGATTGCAGTCCATCACAGGAGCAAGCTTGGAGCGGTGGAGGTAAAAAAGAAAAGAAAAAAAAGAGTGGTGTGCAATATAGTGAAATGGAAAGTGTAAAATTATACAGCAATGATGAAGAATGGCATCGACTATAGATGACTACAAATCCCAGCAATAGTACATTATACAGCACAATGCAGAATACCACCAGCTATAGAGGAATACAAATCCCAGCAATAGTACATTATTCTGCATTGCGCTGTATAATGTACTATTGCTGGGTTTTGTAGTCCTCTATACAGCGCAATGCAGAATACCACCAGCTATAGAGGAATGCAACAAATCCCAGCAATACATTATACATAGGGTGTATAATGTATTGCTGGGATTTGTATTCCTCTATAGCTGATGGTATACTGCTCTGTATAATATACAGTACAGCGCAATGTTCCATCAGCTATAGAGGACTACAAATCCCACTATCCCAGCAATACATTATAGAGCACCATGTGTGGGAAAGTGCAGGCTTATCTGAGCAGTCTTCCAGCAATTTGTTTCCGAGATCGGGCCTGTCTGTCGGCGGCTGTCATCCCCCCACACCTGCTCCTCCTTACTTCTTCTACCAGCGTCCCTGTGCCGATCGTGGATGTGGGCGGGCGGTGAGTGTGAGGCGGGAAGGAGGTGCTGCGTGTGGAGCGTGGATGCGGCCGGGCGGGTCTGGCAGCGGCGAGTGTGAGGTGGGGTGGTGGGGTGGCGTGCAGCGTGTGTGGGGCCGTGAACAGGACCAACCAATCGGAACCCGATTAATCGATTATTGAAAAAGTTGACAACTTTTTCAATAATCGATTATAATCGATTATGTCGATTAGTTTTTGCAGCCCTAGTTTTAAAGGTTTTTTATATGTACAGTTTTTACTTTTTCTATGTTCATGGTGGCAGCCATATGTTATAATTACATTTCTGAGCCCAGATTGTCCTGGACCCACCCCAGCCTGTGACTAGACCGTGAAAGAAGAAGCAGCACAGTGAGAGTTTCATCTCTCTGTGACTCGGCATTCTCTCCATATCAGCGTACTACTTGTCAGCACATGAACTGATTGGCTGCTTGTGCTACTTTTTCCTCCAACACTCCAGCACTGCTGTTCAAAGACTGGGAGAGGCTGATACCATGTCAAATTCAAGTACTTAAACTGCTTGTACTTCGGAAATACATTGAATGATGTATTAATGATTACAGAGATGCATTAAAGGAGAACTATGGGGTTAAGGCTTTTCCCCATAGTTCTCCTTAGGGTAACGGGAAGACACAAACTAGCGTCCTCCCGTCACCCTAAGCTCAGTATACTGCGAGCTACAGCCGCAGCTGAAGCGGCAGCTGAAGCGGAACCCGACAATTATGTCTGGATCCGCCCAGCTGCGTGAGGACAGCTGGCTCTGTCTATCTAGAGGCAGAGCCAGCTGTACCCGCCCCCGTCCGTTCCGCTGGAGGATCGGAGCGGGGAGCGGGGAATCCAGCCCCTCCCCTGTCAAGGCAGAGAGCTGTGACAGGATCGAGAGGTGAGCGAACGCCGGTATGTGTTCGCTCACTTCCCGATCTACTGAGCCGACCTGTGACAGTCTCATTGTCACAGGTCGGCTAGAACTATGAGGTGAGTGAAAAGCACTCATAGTTCTCCTTGAATTTGTGCCTTTATCATCTAGAGTTTGGATTTAACTAAACAGCTACAGTTTTCAGCTCAGAAAAAAAAAACTACCAGTACCAAAGACAAATGTATCTCAAAAAAAGTTATTGTATATGTGTTTTACTTTTTATGTAGCCATTTAGCTTGAGTTTCCCTCTAATTCCCCAAGTGAGTCTTCCAAAAGAAGATTGTTTGTATTTGAACTTCCATCCTTGCTAACCATAATGAGAACAGGCAATTCTCACATCTTATCACAGAAACATTTCCCGAGTACACGTCCCTTTACACTAGAGTATTTTATTTTAAATTTACAAAACAACTGATATTTGAATACTGGGTGTAAGCCAGGTTGTTTCGTGTAGGATCCCTGTAGGATTCTGGCTGCAATATCTTCCTGTTACCTGCTCACCTACTCTACAATTCTAGTATTTTAATACCTTTCTATATTCAGTCTTTGATACTTTGTCTTTCTGGTAGACATGATGGGTCTAAAAATGATGATGGAGAAGATGGGGGTCCCGAAAACTCATCTAGAAGTGAAAAAGATGATTACAGAAGTGACAGGAGGAAACAGCGATGCCATTTGCTACCAGGACTTCGTTAAAATGGTGCTCGGAAAGCGGTCATTTGTTCTGAAAATGTAAGTAACTATAAACATTAATGATAAAACCGACAGGGTACAAGGACTACCAAGTGCCCATTAGCTGTAAAACAGGCAACACATGCTGGGATTACATCATCTTCATTTCCAATAATTACCTGTCCAGCATTATCATGCATCATTGCCCACATACAAAACCTGATGCAGGGGGATCTGTGATATGATATGATACATCATATCTAATTAAAAAACCCATACTGGCTTGAATCATGTAGTGTAGCGCTCTCATTTTTCCCAAACTCTACCAATGACCATTGTTGGCAAGGACAGCCCTCATTTTTATTAAAGGAGAACTATGGGGTCAGGGCTTTTCCCCATAGTTCTCCTAAGGGTAACGGGAGGACACAAACTAGCGTTCTCCCGTGACCCAAACCTCAGTATACCGCAAGCTACAGCTCGCGGTATACTGAGACGCAGCAGCCGGAACGGATCCCGACATTGCTGTCGAGATCCACCCAGCTGTGGGACTGACAGCTGGCTCTGCCTATCTAGAGGCAGAGCCAGCTGTGCCCACCTCTTCCCCCGTCCGTTCCGCCAGTCAGCGCTGGACGATCGGACAGGGCAGGGGGGGAATCCCTGCATGGAGCCGTGATTGACACTCCCGGATCTCTGCAGGGATAGATCAAGAAGTGAGCGAGCGACGGTATGTGTTCGCTCACGTCCCGATCTACTGAGCCTACCTGTGACAGTTTCATTGTCACAGGTCGGCTCAGATTATGACGCTGAGTGAAAATCACTCGCCTCATAATTCTCCTTTAAAGCTGACCTTAAATATTTTTTTTACACTTTTAAAATAGTTGTGTATTCCTTTAAAAAAAAATTACATCATTTTTACATAGAGCTACCATAAGTATCTAAATCTGTCCTGATTTCAGCCAACTTTCATTTCTTGCACAGTAGAACTCAGATTAGGAAAGGGAAGGACAACACTAGGAACCAGTCACGCTCTGATGCAACGTACATGCTGATAGGAGAGAAAAACAGCAGATGACTTATTAGTATATCGTTCCTTCATTGTCCCATCAGCAGACTGTGGGTGGGGCGGTGACACCACTGTGTTCCTTAACTCTAACAAAGAAAGTGGTGTCAGCCTCCAAGCTGTGCTGTCTGGCAGAGGTGTATGAATCACAAAAGTGGCTGGACAGAATTACAAATCCTTTGGCATACAAGACAACCCACATATGTGTATTCTAACTCTACATTTCTTTTTACATTTTGGCTAGAGTGAGGAATCTTAGTTTAGGGGTTAGATGAATGTTAGGCCTAGGGGTTAGTGACAGTGTCATTGTAAATGTTGGATCCTCTTTTGGTATATGTGGAAAATATAATCCGTAGAGGTGAAACAGAAAGTTTAGTTCACAGCAATGTCCTGGCAATTACTGGTACAGTAAATAAGGGGAAATCTTCCCATTAGGGACACAACCAGCAATACAAACCTGACGAATGACTCTTCTCTCTATATAAAAGCAAAAAAAAAGTTCTGGATGGTGCTCCTGAAACTCCAGACCCCAATCCTGTCCCTTATTGTAGCATGAATGCTGACAGGAGACTCTGTTATGGGGAAAGAAACAGAACTGCTGCAGCCACTGTTACAGCCATATGCTGCGTTGCTCTGACAAGCAAAGCTTTGGAACTTACTTATGCCCATAAAACATGCTGTGATCAGATCAATACTGCATACCGTTTTATATGGATCTGAACGCAGTAGTATTGTATGCTCTGGGCCCATTAACACAGCTTTGTTCTCTTCCAAAATGTTGATTGTGACCATATTTTATGCAGTTTGTATGTAAATCTTTGTACAAACGTAAACGTGTATCGAGTAAATGAACATGGCCACCACTACAGAATGAAGGGGGAGAGGTAAACATTCAAAAGTGTGTAGGCAGCAGCAGCAACACGTGCAGAATGTATGATGGAAAGCTGATGTAAGGTAAAGATGGCGCATGCGTGTGGGCCTATATTTCGTGTTGCTGGGAAACATGCTCTAGTGCGCAGGCGTGCGCAACCGGATGTACGGAAAGACGCGCAGATGTCCTTCGCACAGGAAGGGATGCTTTCACTTTAATGAACTGGTCTATATAAATGAGCATGCCCTAACCACAGTGATGATGGTCTTCAGCTTGTACTTACTGTGAACATGTTACTCTGTCGAATTGCCCGTTGCTCATTTTGACCCGGATTGCCTTGACACCTCCTGCTTGCAGCCTGCCTCCTGACCTCGGCTTGATTACTGGACCATGCCTCACCTATCGTTTTTGTACTTAGTTGCCTGGCTGTTTTGACCTTTGGCTTCCTCGACTACGCTTCTGCCTCCCGCTTTTAGCACTATGCTAAATCCTTTCCAAAATGAGCCTTTCGCCTTACAGACAACTGCAAACACCTGTTATTTACATTAGGACGTGGTAATCCACCTCCTGTCTCTATGATGAGGGCCATTATGGGCAGATTTGCTAGAAAACATCAAGTAATAATCTCCAGAGGCTAGCAGAATAGAGCAGCACCTGTCTGTAATGTATCAGATCTTCATGTTACGTAGTCATTTTCCTTTGTTTGAGGTAACCACAATGTCCATCTGTTGGGAACAGTAGCATACTAACGAGATACATGTTTATAAAGAGTATATTCCAACTGGAATCTATCCAGTCTTATTAAAGAGAACCACTTATGAGTAGGCTCATGCATGAATCAAAATATTCCTTCTTTAGTTTATTATATCTGTGGAGGTTTACTTATGAAAGATTTATGTTTGCCATTTGTTTAGCTTTTCTTGATCAGTTTGAACCTTCATCTTGAGATTACCTAAAGCCTGATAGATGTTGCCCTGCTGACTTTGCAAATTGTCCCCCTGCTTTTGAGTGCACACAACAGTATCATATAACAGAGCCTTAGCTTTTTATATACCTTTTGACCATGGGGCTCTGAAATCCACTCTGAGGCCCAGCATTTTACAGGGCAGCATCTGTCAGACTATAGGGGACCTCTGAACAGTGGCGTAAAAATCACCATAGCCACCCAGGCGGCCGCTATGGGGCCCGGGGCACAGGGGGCCCAGCCAGGACATTCCTGATGCCCTGGGGGCCGCCTGGGTCGCTTTGGCATCTCACGCTGCTGGCTGTCACTGGTGGCTGTGAAGCGAAATGTGCACCTTAAGAGCTTACAGTGATCTGTGCAGCGGCACGTTCCTCTCCACAGCCGCTGCTGAGTCAGTGAGAGCCAGCAGCGGCGGTGGAGCAGGCTGGACCCAGCAGTGGAGGAGGAGGCGAGCCCGGGGTTGGCATCAGAGGAGGAGGGGCCCGGCGACAGGCGGAGGAGGAGGGGCTCATCACCGACGGTGGAGGAAGAGGAGGCGGACAGGTAAGGAGTGTAACTAGCTCACCTGAGGGTGATCCTGCATAGCCCACCTTAGAGACTCTATGATGGGCTCTGCAGGGTCACCCTCAGGTGGGCTGTGTGGGATCTCAATTGGGCTCTGTAAGGGGTGTAACTAGAGATCAAAGGGACCCCATACAAAATTTTGCTATGGGGCCCTGTGATTTCTAGTTACGCCCCTGCCTCTGACCCCTGATTCTTAAAGAAGAACGTCAGGCAAAATTATTCTTTACCCTAGCAGTGGGGCTACCGCCGCACTGCCAAGGTTAAATGCTTTCCATCTAGGGATGAAAATAAAGTTATGCTCACCTGAACTTCGAAGGTGTCTGGCTGTTAGCTGGCTGAGCAACCTTTCTCTCCTTCCCCTCCGGCAGTCTAAGATCCTGTAAGTCATCACATCCTATACAGTGTATAGGACGTGAGGATGCAGAGGGACGTTCCATTGTTGGAGCAGACAGGCTGCAGGTACCGATGCAAGGTGAGTATCAGAGTTTGGGGAGGTAGAGGGACCCTTTACAAAGACACTGTCACTTTGTTCTGAATGGGCAAGGTGACAGTGTCTTTTTAAGAGTCACATTTAAAGGAGAACTATGGGGTTAAGGCTTTTCCGCATAGTTCTCCTTAGGGTAACTGGAGGAAACGGGCACTGCTCTCCAAGCTCTCCTGGATCTGCCCACGTCTCCTGTGTGTACAGCACCCACGTGATCGGCCCTCAGACTGCCAAGCGCTCTCATTCCGAAATCCTGCGCATGTGCAGTAGCACGCTGAGGACTGATCACGCGGGCGCTGTGCACACAGGAGACGTGGGCAGATCCAACCATTCCCTCAGGAACCTAACCCCAGCGTAAATTGAGTGTTACCTGTAGTCCTTTATATTCTTCCCAATAGGTTGAGCCAGCATGCGACACTGCAGCTGTCACACTTCGACTCTATAGCTCGAGAACTAAGTGATCACTAAGCGCTGATTGTTTATCTCACGGTCTTCTCCCTGCAGCGAGCGGTGACTGTTAGTCACCACCCTCTGCAGGAATTTGAGGGGTCACCTCTCACTGTTCCTCCAGCGCTCATTGAGAGAAAGACAGGGGTAGTACGCAGTCCATTTAACAATATCACTATTATTCACTGCTGACAGGTGCCGGTTAGTGTGGTTTATAGCCCAGAGGCATTTCACTACTTTCCACTGTGTAGGATGGCTGGATGGTCACTTGGAATGCTCAGGGTCATGTGACTCACATTTCTGAACAGCTGCATGCAGCTGGTTTCCTGGCTGCCTACACGCTGCCCCCATCGGACTGCTGAGCCAAGCAAATCCGAAGAAGGTGCCAGGCGGGTCACTAAGTTCGAACTGTGACACCCAGCTGGCGAAGTCACACAATTGAAGAACACAATCTTGCCACAACCTTCAGCTTCTCTCTTAGTAAGCTGAATGCAGGAAGCAGGCACAAAAGTGGAATGAAACAATGTAGAAATGGCTTTTTCTTCCATTTAGCTGTGGCCAGGAAGTCAGCTGTAGAAAAGCAGTGGTTTGGTACTATTTAAATCTATGACACCAAAGCAGAAAGATGCATGGAGTCAGGTCTCTGTACAGTGCAGGTAATTATTCAGCA